GCAGGAAGTCTGTTACGGTGAAATTCAAGTTGCGCAGTCCAGATGCTTTAATGGAAAGGGCGGGCTTATTCATGGGCTTGCAAGACCTGTAGAGCAGATGAGGTTACATTTCTTTCTAGCAGCGCTTTTCTTCAATTTGTTGAAGCCTAAAACCCCAAATACTTCCGAAGGAAGAAAAGCCCCTGCTGAGCAAAATGAGATGTAACGCTCTGAACTGGTGTACACGAGGCGCGTGTAACCTGCGTGGCACTGGGTTTGACCGTCCCCAAGGTGTACGCGCCATGCGCCTATTGCCTAGCGCTGCTCCCGGAATCGGGAGCCAAAGCTGCCTTTCCCGCTGCCTGGGAAGGCTGGTAGCTGCCACAGCCCCCGTGGTTCTCCGGGGTACAGGCAGCCCAGCTCGGGGGCTGGAGCTCCACAGCCGCGGCCATGGAGAGCGGGTAATTGCTGTCGGGAAAGCAGAACCATTTCCCGCAGCAGCCCAAGGACTCGGCCCCGCTGGAAACTTGACAGCATTCTCTTGAAAGTGCAAGGTTGAGGGAGGGCAGAGGGAGCTCTGACTGCCATTAACACAGAACAGGAGTCTGTGCAGTGGAGCCGTCTTAGCTTTGGGGGTTTTGCTGGTTTCTGGTAAGTAACTGCAGGTGATTCTTTCTGGGCCGGACGGGAAGAGCAGTGTCTGGGATCCCAGCATTGCCACGCAACACGAAGCCACAGACGCTGCGCTGATGGGCAACTGTGTGCTGTGTAGTTAAAAAACCAGTTTCAAGAGAACAGCATTTTCTCAGTCCTAACACATCACTTACTAACTACTCGGTATGTTGCACTTCCAATATATAATCGCAGCTATTGACCGTAAATGCTTTTGTCTGTATTACAGAAGTTAGAAACGGACAGTGTCTGTCTTAAGAAGGATTTGGCTTTTAAAGATTCTCAAGTAAAAGAATATGAAAGTATGTTGGCTTCTCTGAGAGAGAACAATCGTCAGCAGCAGGTAAATCCAAGAAGATATTTTCAGTGTCATTACGGTCAGCCAAAAACCAGCCCGCACGCTGGCTTTTGAGTACTCTGAGTAACCGCTGCCTGGTGTACATGCGTGTGTGTGCGTGATCCGGTTACTGCCGTGAGGAACAACGCGCATTCATTCCACGTCTTGCTTTCCAGCAAGGACTCCGAGAGAGTACTGCGAAATGTCGCGCTCTGGAAGAACAGCTCCTCTCTCTCCGGCTCAGCGAGGGAGAGAAGGATTGTCAGCTGAAGGAACTGGAGTACTGCAAGAGGGCCTTGGAGCAAGAGATCCAGAGCCTCAGACTGCAGGTAATGGGCTCGCTTGGGCTGTGCTCAGTCGCTGTTGCTCACACATACAGAGGCATTAACGTGTGACAATTAATGATGAAAACTTCCTTTTTAAAATAAAAAACTATTTTATTTTCTGTAGACCTGCTCTAACCCAACACTACAGACCACCACAGATGAACTCTCCAGCCGTTACGTAGAGATGATCAATAACTTGAGAGAGGATAAAGATCGTGAGATCCGCAGCCTTAGGGTAAGCTGATCAACTGGCCGTGCCTGTATTCCTCACCTGGGACGACTGCTGGCACACAGCTGCTTATTTAATTACGGACCAGGACGGATCTCCCCATATGTACGTCTTGGATCTCTCTTGGTTCTACAGTGGCTTTATAGAGAGACAGTAATGATGGTTCAGAAACCCCTGCGGTAGAACATAAAACTGTGATTTAAAAAAAAATACAATTCCTTGGATGTAGAAATTAGGGATGAATCAGATTAGAGCCTCTCCTGAAGGGTTATTTTGTGGGTCCTGGTAAAGTAAGGAACCAGCCAAGACACGCAACAGAAAATAAAGGTAAGTCCCAGTCAAAACTAGCTATAGGAAATGGCTCTCCTTTAAAGCACTGTAGTACTGTTTTACCGCCCTGGAAGCCAGTTCAGCTTGCTCAGTGTTGCACTGGCTTCATCGAGTTACAAACCTGGTAACTGGACTGAATCCTACCAGTATCCATCAGCACTGCCTGAACTTACTGTGCAGCTCAACGTTCTTACTTGCAAATCACCAGGTTTTGTGTGTGTCCATGTACGTAGCTATGTCCGTAGCATTCTTTAAATTACACTAATTCAAATCTTACCATTCGTAATTTGATGAAAAAAATGGATCCGGAGTCCTAGATACCTACCGGAAGGTCGCCTGCAGGGAGCACCCAACACCTAACTATTCCTTAACTATGTTTTGCAGTCTCAGTTATGCCAATTCCAGCAAGATATATCGAGGAGAGACGGAAGTAACAATGACTTGCAAATAAGGTTGCAAGAACTGATGTCGATGCTGGAGGAGAAAGATGCCTTTATTAAACAACAGCAAGAGGTAAAATAATACAACTTCTTTTTCTTCTAACAACTTTCATATGTAAGCTTCCACTTACTGTGTAGCTGGAACCGTGCTGGGAAGTCACTTGTACTCTCCTGGGTTAGGATTTTTTTTCACTGCGTGCTAGTCCCCTGCCCATCTTTTGGGAGGACAGACCTTTTTGGACTGCTCTTTGAGAGGAATTTCTGCAAATATTTTGTTGTGACTTTAGTGAACCAACGCTTCAGAAAGCATTATTTCATTTGAATGTTTGCTTTTGGTTTTCTCAGGACCTGTTCCGATTGAAGCATGAGAAATTATCAGGCAGTCAGTCCCCTGGTGTAACATCGATCATCACAAAGAAGTAATGTAGTTATTCCCCTTTCTTAAAAATCCATCCTTTTGATTTTCCCTTCTAGAGCCTCTGTTAACCAGCTTATTCCACAAATGCCTTAACACTGCCCGTTCAACTTAACGGGGGAAAAGTGGAGATAGGGTTTCCTGTCTGGGGAAGATTCAATACTGAGCATTGCAATAGCAAGTGGAGGGGTGGCCAGCGTGCTACAGCGACGTTTAAATGACTGAATTACCTTTTCAGTTAGTAGTGACAATCTCTGGGGCTTCGGGACTGGCAGGACTGTGTGGCAGGATCAGAGCCAGCAGTTCGGATACAGGTGTGCAGACTTCAGTTTACAGGTTTGTGCTCTTTTTAATCCAGGTACAGGAACCAGTACCCGATTCTGGGTCTCCTGTCTGATGACTACAAGGTTACATCACCTGTCAATAGATCTCAGACTATTGTAATTGAGAGGACTGGAGAGATATGGAAACAGGTGAGCTTACCTCGAGGCTGACTGCCCAGCCTCTGAAATTCCTAAGTAAGTGTTCAATTTAACTTCAGAGGCGGTATTAGCCAAAACGGACATCTGAGATGAGTTAACTTGGCTGCAACAAGCCAAGTGGCTGATGAAAGGCAAGGAGCCGTACTGTCTGTTGCAAGGCAGCAGTAGGTGTTGGGTGGAGTATAAATAAAATAACCTTCCGTTGTTTTCTGCGACACATAATTGCCTTTAACGAGAGGAGTGGCGCTGGCGGCACAGCAGCCCCTGCCCTCACGCACGGGGCGGTCTGCCGGGCATCGCTCTCCTGGGCAGCGAGGGAGGCGGGAGCTTTTTCCGTGCTGTGGGGTGACGGAGCGTTTCGGGTGGGCAGTATTCCTCTGAATCACCAGCGTGAATGACTCCAGACTATTACTACAACATATGAAAAGCAAGCATCACATCCCCGAAACTTAACAGGGCAGTGGCTAACCCAGAAAATGCGGAAGAGGGGTGACTTCTTAAGGAGTGATTCAGAGTAAAAATAGCAAATAGGACTGCAGGAGCGATTTTTGTTTCAGGGGACAAGGTCACGTTGCCAAGTCTGAATACAAGGTGGAGGCTTGAGGACGATCAGCATGGCCAGTTCGCAACAGCGCAGTCTGGCGACGCTGGCTGCAGGCAGAGCGTGGCAGAGCAGCACAGACAAACAAGTGTTGAGGGAGCAGCTTTGTGGGGGGACAGGACCAAAAACCAGACAATTACGTGAGCAGCCCCAGTAGACGAAGGGTAAAGCATCTGGCGTGTTGGGTATGTTACCTGGGGCAGGGTTAAGAACATAAAAGGCAGAGGGCACTGGCACACAGCAGAGTTTATTACTGATCTCTCAAACTCATCCAATTGCATTAAAACCTAGTGAAATGTTAAGGAATTAAACAGTAATAAATTACAAAAATGAAGCCAAAACCCCCTCCCTCCGAGCTTACTTGAAAAGTAAGTCGTACTTTCCATTATAAAAAACAGAAAAGATGAGTGTGCTCTGCATTCGATGAGATCAGCATCATTAAATAAACGAGAGCTGTTTGTATTTTAAGTTTCCCAAGCTCTCTATCCATTACTAGTGCCAGTTCCAGCTGAAACAAAATTACTTTGCTGCAAGAGAAACTTGCTAAGTTTGAGAGGTGCCAATTTCACCTGGACTCCAGGCTTCCCAAGTACCTTCTCTGTGCTCACGTACCGCCAGGCACATCCCGATACCTGCGTCCGTTACCGAACAGCGTGGGGTTTATACCGAGAGCGGGCAGCCTGTACAGGTACGGTCTGTCAGGCACTGATTACGGGTCATGCTCTGTCCTTCAGGACACTCAATGGAAGTACTGAAATGTTCCTTTTAACCGTGATCCTAGCTGTATTTGAGAAAACTTCTGGGGTAGAAATTCTGTAATACCTACTGCTTAGGTATCTGATAACTTCCTGTTCTTGGTTGTTTTCCCAAGTACAAATAAAACTACTGTCCTTGGGTTTGTGTCTACTGGAGACAGCGAATCGTGCTGGCTCCGACACCTTTAATGGTGTGAGGCATGCCTTACATACCAGACAGTTTTGGTTTATGTACAGAAGTTAGTTTGTGTATTTTCTTCTAACAAGCTGCTTGTTTCTTTCAGGAATAAAAGAAATCCCTAAGCCATCAGAGCTGCTCAAAGGCGTTCACAACGACTAAAACTGCTTTACTTTCTGCTCGTTTGCACCAGAAGAAGGTTCAGTCTGACCGTGAGAAAGGCTGGGGAAGACATTAAGGACGTGGAAGCACAAAGATGATGGAAAACGCTGTCTCATCCTCACCGTAAAGAACGCGGTGACCTGTGTCCCTAATCTGCCGCTAACACCTGTGTACAAACGTTATTTGTACTTTTCCATGCACTTACTTCTTGCTCAGAAGAGCACGGTATGCCTTGCTTTTGTGCGCTTCCATTTTCCTTGACGTGACTAACTCCTCTTCTCCTGCCAGTCCTGGAGCGATCTAAGAGACAAAGGAAGAAGTCTGAAACCTTTCCCTCTGCGCTATTGGCCATGTTCTCCTCTCCTGTCTGCTCGTGCTGAGAAGCGAGCGCGGTGCAGATCTAAGTCCCACACGTACTGAATGGCTGGGTTCAATACTGACTGACAGACTGACAGACTGCCCTTTTAGCTACTGCTGCCTATTGAGGATGAAGCAAACCCCAGAAACCACCTTCATGGGGAACGTTAAAAATACCTCACGGAAAACCGCTTCCCTTACATCTGCCTCAGTGTGGGAAGCTGAAACCCAAAGTTAAATCACTTAAGTCACTCCCGATATACAGCTCCTCAAACGTAGCTACCGAACTGGCCAATACCAGAGCCGTTATCTAGTTCAGCGAAACGATGGGGCAAACGCTAATTTTGAAGAACGCTGTTGACCTCAGAGTTGATGTATTTTCAGCTGAACCCCTATAAGCCCCCAAACCAGCCATAAGTATTTATTTGCTGTGCTTGAAAATGTCAAGAACTTGGTCTATTTTCATATAGAAAAACTTAGTATGGAAATAGCTCACAGATTAAGTTTCATTATCAGACCAACCTTCCGCTTACAATTTTTGCTCCTTGCAGGACCACCGAAATGATCTCCGAATGATTTGGTATTAATTAATAACTAAGTAGTTGTCTAAGCAACATAGTGCAGAGAATCATAGAGGCAATTTTAAACTGTGCTAGCTCTTCATCGTGGGCTTCTTGCTTTGCTTTGTTTCTGCAAACATAGATTTCTATTCAAATAATATATATCATAAGGAAATGTTTAATGGCGAAAGAACACTGTAGGCTATGTGTACCCATGAAATAAACCGAAGTGGAACTTTCTGAATCCTGTCTATCTGTACTGGAAACGTCTGGCGCATACCTGACAGGCTGGAGGGGGCTGTGCAGGTGGTGTGGTGCTGCCTGGTTTCAGATGACCCGTTCCTCTCACTCAGTCTTCACAAGTAAAGGAGTAGCGTCAGGTCCCTCTTCTTGCTCCTGCTGCCAGTCTTCCACTCAGTTAATGCTGCGATGTCAGAGATGACCTCACGTTCTTCGTAACGAGGAGAAGGAAGTGTAAAGCTGCTCATTGCGCTGCTCTCTGCGTGTGTCCAGCCTAAGGCGGGCCTGCAGCTGCAAAAGCCAAGCAAGAGTTTGCACCATCAAACAACACTCACGTCAGCCTAGCTCTATAGAAGGAGGTTTTAATTAGTTAAAAATTAAATATCCTCATTTGAATGAGGAGTGCCTTGTCCCTCTGAAATCAACAATGATTAGGTAATTACTAATAATATTTATAACTACTAATAATTAACAATTACTAAGATAACCCTCCTCATTTCTGTATAGCAGTTAGATATAAGGTACCTATACCTTAAGTAAAGGGCTCACATACTAACGACACAGCATACATAGTGCCAGAGCGTATTCCATCCCAACAGATAAATAATTTTAGTTACACTGCCATCTAATGCCTTTTCACCTTTGGTGACCTAAACAGCAAAAAGAAAGAAAAGAGGAAGAAGAACACATCCGTTTAATGCCATCCTAGTGTTACCTGTGCCTAACCGTGCCGTTGTCCTGACTGAAGGAGACAGAGTACTTTGCTGACTTACCCTGCTCCTTGCCGTAGCCCAGCCGGGCCTGGCTGGCTGGCAGCGTTGCACAAGCAGCTCGGAAGAAGCTGCGACCAGCAGAACCAGGAGTCGGTAACGGACGTCCTTACTGCGTACTTACTGCCTTATTTCAGCCACTGCGAGGGCTGCAGCGTACGTACACGCGCACCGCCCCAGCCAGTACCGCACCACCAGCCAATGCCGCTTTAACTCTGACTTAAGACCATGCAACAGCGTAACGCAAGCAGCAAACGCCCTGGAAGGCCGGAACCACGCAGGCTCTGAACACTCAGAGCTGTTGGGCGTGGTGGTACAATTTCATGACAAAGGCTGTGATTAGGCAAATGAGCTGTTTTGCACATACAGCTGGCATGATGGTGAATCGGCAACCACCGTGATTGCTCCCCACACGGGAAGCGCCTGGTAACAGACACGCCGTTTAAAAAAATGCCCACTTTGCTAATTAGGAAGGACAGAAGCCAGCACTGTATTGCGTAGCAAAGATCAGCTTCTCTAAGGCTTGTTGGAGTATTTTAAGACTTCCGTACACTGTAAGTGCTACAGAGCTGATGGTCGTAACAACACATTTTACCCACAGGTAACGTGAAGCAATAAGACACTTGTCAAAAAGCTGAATTACACTGGTAGATGAAGCGTAACGGCCATTTGGGGCTGGTTTTGTTTTCAAACCAGATTTATTTAAAAAGCAAATCTAGTATTTTTTATTATAAAGGTACATGTTATTTGCTGCAGTCTCAGCTATTGCCTCTTCTCTGTTGAACTGAAACTGATTTGCCTAACGTTATTTCTGCTGGAGTTTACAGAAACAGCGTTTTCTCATTCACTCATCTCTGTAAATGCCAGTTATCACCCTAATTATAAACAGTATACTCCAGGTAATTTTTCACCTCAATTTCAGGTATGTCCACTAAGATGTCTGCATTTTTTCAGGAACAAATTAGAAAAATCAAAGACAGTGTTTACTTCATATATTTACAACCCTCCACACACCACCCTATTAGACTGTCTTCATCAGCAGTTATTAACTAAACCCCACTGCCGGAACAGATTTGATAGTGTGCAGCGTTTCTTGTTCTTACACTGAAGAGCAGGAGAAAACTGTCTTCTGGTTTCTGTCACTGACCTCCCCACACAGCTCAGTGTGCAACACGGACAGTTTGCCTCAGCTGCAAAATAAAAGCCAAGTCGAGCCCTGGTTCGGAAGCTACCGACACCTCTGGCCTTCTGTCTGAAGAGTCAACACCGCCTCCGAAAACCGCGTCAAGGTAACTCACCCTTACCTTGGAGCACTCTGCTGGTGTTCTTCCCTGTCTTCTCTCTCCATTTCATTACCTTCAATTGTGGGCATCTGAAACCTGAAGAAAGAAAAATACAGCTGGTGATCAAGACATGAATCACTTTTCACTGCTCCTGCCTTCTAGGAGTTCTTAGTCCATCATTCAAATAAAAACCTGCAGTAAACAAATCCGACATTTTAGAGCAACCCTTCCGCGTTTGTGAAACTCGCTGCTTGCTCAAGCAACCACGATGTGTTTGTACATCACAGACAGCACCACAGGAGCCGGCAGAGGGGAAACCCAAACATGGCCCAGAACAGCGGGACAAGCTCAGTGCTGTGCTCCCGGGCCCTACCGAATGTGGCAAGAGGCAGGCCATACATAAGGCTAAGGAGAGCATGCCTGGAAGATAATCCTGTCTACTAAAGAACCTTTAAAAGGACAGAGATCATGCAACTTCACAACAAGGATGGGAGACATCACTCAGAGTTTTCAGGACAAGTAACAAAATACGATACCGCCAACTTTTATCATTCAACATTTCAGTCAGAACACTTGCAAGGCTTACCGGTGGTGGCGTCTCTCTCTCGCTTGCTTCCTACACCACCTAGGAACTCATCTGCTCTGAAAACGAGTAAGCAGGACCTGCCTGCGGAGCACTTCATCCCATCCTAAAGGCTTCGCCAGCGGGTACCAGGAGGCCGTGCGCTGCCAGCACAGGGGAGGGAGCCAGGCAGGGCAGAAGTACAGACCCTACAGGGCAGGGATCTGTGGAAGTACTGAGACACAAATCTTAGAAGCATTTTTAAAATTGTGACACTCCCATGGTAACAACAGAACAACCATCACAACCATCACAAATTCTCACAAGTATTTACTGGGAAAGTGCAGTGAAAAGAATCTAGGAACTGTGCCTCAAGCTGCCGAGGATTCAGGTGAAATTTTATTCTTACATTTCAGAAGATTTAACATGCCTCTTCCTAGTAAAATCTTATGTCAAGAATACCAACCAACCGCTTGCTTTAATACAGCATTTCAGTTACCAGGGAAACACAGTTGTAGAGAAAAGATGAAAAA